TATCGTTTCCTGAGATGGGTTTTTTTTTCCTGTGTTGTCAGTAATGTATTTTCCTCAGTACTCCAACACATAAAATATATATGTATGTACTTATTTATGTATGATCAAGAGAGTACTAGCTGTTCCCTGAAAGAGTGCAATATTTCAGAAAAACATGGAATAGAAATGAAAGGACCTTTGTAATGCAGTTCTTTAGAGGTGGTCACTATAGTTATTTCATACCTGTTATATTTAAAAAATGGTCCTTATTCTACATTCTTTTTTTTTTTTGGAGACAGTTTTATTATGTAACCCCAACTGGCCTCAACTTCACAGAGATCTGCCTGTCTCTGCCTTGTGTGTGCTGTGACTGGAGGCATGCATTGCCATATCTGGCCTAATTATTCAGAAAAGTTGGATGGGTGCCACTACCCCCAGCTTCCTTCTTGTCTTTCTGGTGGTTCACTTTGAGAAAACAGCTATTGTCTGGATTTTTGCCATTCTGGTCACAGAAAGGTATAATTTGCATGACTGGTATGGAAAACTTTTATTGTACTGAGTAAATTCCTCAGATATTTCTGAGTCAGTCACTTTTTGTCACATTAAAAAAATATTTGGAAACACTTTAAGGGAGGTGGATTTATTTAGGCTCTCATTTTGGAAGTGTCAGTTCATGGCTGGCTGGCTTCCTTGCTGTGGGCCTGTGCTAAGGATGAAGATATACAGGACAGGTGGGACAAAGAGAGGAGTAGAGGGTTAAAATATCATCTCAGGGGCACCCCCAGTGACTTACTCCAGCCAATACCCCATACTAGGTTCATCACCTCCAATAATGCCATCCAAGTACGAGCCCACCAAAGCACTGGCTCAGTCACTTTCCCAAAGCCTTTACTGTAGGCAGAGACTGCTTGTTTGCTTCCCAGCCACCCAGGCCCAAAATAATCACACAGAAACTATATTAATTACAACACTGCTTGACCAATCACTGAAGCGTATTGCTAGCTAGCTAGATCTTATATCTTAAATTAACCCATTTTCATTATTTTATATTTTACCATGAGGCTCATGGTTTACCGGTAAAGTTCCAAGGCGTCTGTCTCCTTAGATGGCTACATGGCATCTCCTTGACTCCACCTACTTTCTTCCAGTATTCAGTTAGTTGCCCCCTCTAGCTCTATTCTGCCCTGTCATAGGCCCAAGAAACTTCTTTATTCATTAACCAATAAAAGCAACACATATATAGGATTTCCCACATCACTTAACCTCTGAACATTGTATTGAAGAGCAATACAATGAGTACATGAGTTTTGGGGAGACATCTCATTTCAAACCATAGCACCTTTATCAGCATCCTGGGTTGTATTTCATCTGTTTGCTCATGGCAACTTTATGCTAATAAATCTGCTATTGGTCCTCTTAAGATAGACCCTGATGATGTGCAAGGTAGGATCTCTGCGAGTTTGAGCTAGGCCTAGTCTACATAGGAGATATAGGCCATCTAGGGCTATGTATTGATATACTGTCTTAAAAACAAATAAACAACCCCCAACAGCAAAACAGACCCTGATTTCCTGTATGCTTAAACTTAGCTACAAGAACAAAGATTTAAAGTCAGCACCCTCATCTTTATCATCTTTTACTCTTAGTATTCCTACCCAGATCTCTAGTCTGTTCTACATACTCTACAATATTCTGCTCCAGGTCTGTTCTGTTTCCTTGTAATTCTCTGATAGTAGTGACTTATATTCTGCTAGGGAATCAGGAACTCAAGACCACTAGAGAAACATGGAGTTCTTGAACTCTACATGGGCTATATGGCAAGACTGTGTCTCAAAGCAAAATAAAACAGAAAACCATGTTGATCTATAGTTTTGTGCATGTGATACTCATAGAAGAGGAGAAATTCTAGTCTCAATATGGGGACTAATATTTGAAAAAAAAACAAGTTTTCTCTTTTCCCCAAAGTAATTTTTTTGCAACGCATGTAGAAATAGAAATTGCATACCAGAAACAACATAGAAAATTTCATGTGTTTTAACAATAAGAACTATGTTCAATTGTGCAAAGCATCCATGTTTCTGAGGATGATGCTGTTACTATTTTTAATGACACCATTGAGACATGTCTATTGAAGGACAGCAAATATAAACAAAGTTATAATTCTGTATACTGTATTTTAAAATCTATTTCATAAAAATTTATATGTATGCTTTGCTGAATGTATGTCTGTGCATCACGTGTGTGCCTACTATCCATGGAGGCCAGAAGAGGGTGACAGATCTCCTGGAACTGAAGTTATAGACAATTTTGAGCCTCTATATGGGTGCTGGATTTAACCTGGGTCCTCTGGGAGAGCAGAAATGCTTTTAACCATTAAACCAACTATCCACCCTCTTACTTTTTAAAGATTTGTATGTGTGCATGTGTTGTGTGCACATGAATGCAGGTGCCACAGAAGCCAAAAGTGTTGGCTTCCTTCAGAACTGGAGTTATGGGCAGTTGTGAGCCGCCTTATCTGGGTGCTGGGAATGGGACTGCAAACCTCTGCAAGAACAGTACAGGATCCATCTCGGAGCCATCTCTTCAGCCTCTGTATCATTTTGAAATAGGGTCTCACATAGCCTAGGCCTGCTTCCTATCCACTACATAATCCCAGATGTCCTTGATACTGATCTTCCTGCTTCCTCCTCCCAAATACTGGGTTATAGGTTTATACCATCAAGCCTATTTATTTTTGAGCTTTGCAATTTTTTAAAATTATTTTAAGTTCTATTATCAACTTGTTCTTTTGCTTTAATTTGTGAATTACCTTAGTCCTACTTTAAATTTCTATTATTATTACTTTTTTTTTTTTGAGGCAAGGTTTCTCTGTGTAACAGTCCTGACTGTACTGGAACTCACTTTGTAGACCAGGCTGGCCTCAAACTCACAGAGCTCCGTCTGCCTCTGCCTCCCAGTGCTGAAACTAAAAGCATGCGCCACTACTGCCCAGCTTTTTTTCTTTCTTTGTTTTAATTTTAAAAGAGAGGGCCTCACACGCTGGACTCTGCCTTCCCAGTGCTGGAATTAAAAAGTGTGGAACACCACACTTGGCTCCATGACTGTTCTATTTTAACAATAACAAAACAATGTAACATTTTAATTGTTTTTAAAATGAATACTTTTCTTTCTTTCTTTTCCTTTTCTTTCCTTTCCTTTTCTTTTCTTTTCTTTTCTTTTCTTTTTCTTTCTCAGCGTTTCTCTGTGTAACACTGGCTGTCCTGGAACTAGATCTGTAGACCAGACTGGCCTCATACTCACAAAGATCCGCCTGCTTCTGCCTCCCACGTGCAGGGATTAAAGGCGTGTCACCACTACTCGGCCCAATGAATACTATTCTTATTCTAATATCAAAAGTAAACAGCTTTATTTGAAAAGTTTATATTTAAAAGCTAGGTCCAGGAACTGGAGGCGTGGCTCAGCAGTTAAGAGCACTTGTTCTTGCAGAAGATTGGAGCTGGTTTCTGCTTTTCACATAGCAGCTCACAAGTGCCTGTAACTCCAGTTCTAGGGCATTGGGTACCCTCTGGCCTGAGGTATCTGGACATACATGGTGCACACAAACTTACACATACATACATATAAATAAATCTTTAAAAAAGATTTGGGTTTGGGGATATCACGGTGGAGTGCTTGCTCAGCATGTGGAAAGGCCTGGGTTCAATATATATTGCCACAACAATAAATAAATTTAAAAAGGCAATAGTCTAGAAACCCCAGTTTCCAAAAAGCATTTATTTAAAGCGAAATGTGTAGAAGGAAATGAAAAGAGGCGTCTTTTATATTTTTATTTAATAATTAAATGTCACAGTACATTGTATTCCTCTCCTTTTAATTTGTGGCTTACCTTTATCCTGACAGCCTTCTTCCCTTCTCCAGGCTTCCTTTGGCTGTGCATATAAAAAGCTGAAAAGGCCTGCAGAGATTAAACCCTGAAGGAATTCAAGCGAGTCAATTTCTTACTTCAGCCATTGCAAACAACAACAAAAACCAAAACCAAAAAACCGTGCTTTCCGCTGGAATATCCTCTGGACCACCAAAGTTTGATTCAGATGGGAAGCCCAGTTCAGTGTTAATAGCCTGGCTGGTGGGTGGCTGGAAAGGTGACCCGCATCTCTGGAAACAAGTGCATTCTTTTCGCCTGCCATTGAAACTGTTGTCGAGGATGGAAAGAAGTGATCGCCCAGAGCGTTGGGATTCCGGGCTCCAAGCAGGGAGGGCTCAGCCTTCCACAAAGCTTCACAGATCTGTTTCCCCAGCTACACTATTTCCCACTCCCACACGCCAACCGATAGTAGGAAGGAAGCGCTGAGTAGCCCGGCATCCTAGAGGTTTCCACACCCGGCACGGTTTAGGCGAATTCTGGTCCATTTTTAAAGGAATCATTTGTGTGTGAGTATATGTGTGTGTGTGTTTTATGGGAGTCAGCTTAGCAGTATTCCCCCTTTTCTCTCTTTAGCACACGCAACGGACACGCCGATGAATTTCTGTCCGTGTAGACAGCTTTTATTCCTCTCAACCTGCCCGCTTGGCTTTTTGTCAAGCAGCCTCCGGGGCTCACAGTGTTTAAAACATGACGTCGAACTACAGCTGGAGTGAGAGTCGACGCCGCGCTGCTATGGCCGCGCCGCACCGGGGAAGCCTACGTGGGACTCCGCGAGGCCCGGGGCGGCCCACGCCCGCGGGGCGGGGGGGTGTCGCGGACGCACGTGCGCGCCCCGCACGCGGGTGCACGCTCCGGAGTGTTTACACCGCTCGCTCCCCACCCCGGCCAGGCCCGACCCCGATCCCGGATACCCAGTCCGCAGCTTAGCGCCCGCCGCAGCCTGAGGTGCAGCCGCCGCCGCGTCAGAGCGGGCGGGGGAGGGGCGGTGAGGTCAGCGGCGGCGGCCCGGTGGCGCGCGGCGCATGCGTGGAGCAAGTCCTGTGAGTGGCAGCGGCGCGCGGGGGGCGGGGGCGGGAGGCGCCTGTGTGTGGGCGAGCCGGCGGCGAGTTTGAGAGGTCTGTGGTGCGGGTCGCCCCGAGGGACCCGGGCGCGGGCCTCGCGCGACCGCTCCGTCCGTGTGCGTGCGTTGTTTGTGTGGTGAACGCACAGCTGCCAAACTTCCTCCTCCACTGCCCCGGGGAGGGAAAGCGTTAGCGAGTGAGAGGGAACCCATCGTGAGGGAGCCAGGCTTGATGGAAGCGAAAGCTAGCGCGAGGGGGAGATCCCGAGCGTGAGGGAGCGATAGCCAGCGAGCACGGGCAACGGCGAGAGCTGGCCGTGCGAGGCAGCGCTTGCCCGCGCGCGAGGACCGAGCGTGAGGGAACTAGCCGTAGGCAGCGACGCGAGCGAGCGAGCGGTGTGTGAGGGAGCGATCGCCAGCGCGCGACAGAGGGGCCGGTGCTCGCGCCACCCCGGAACCCACCACAACAACTGGAGCAGCTGTCAAAACTTCGCCGCGGCGTGGGCCTGACGGGGCTGACGGCGCGGGGGAGGGGTGGCTGTCGCCGCCCCGCCGCCACCTCCGCGGCCCTTTCTCCTCCCGCCGCGGGCGGCCTGGGGGAGGGGCCGGGCGGAGACCCCTGCGGTCGCCCCGGGCCCCGCGCCCCTCGCGCCGCGCCCCGCCCCGCCCCGCTCGGCGCCGCCCTCCGGCCCGGCCCCGCTGTCCCCAGCCCTAGCCGCGGCGCCCCGCCCCGCGCGGCCGGCCCCGCCCGCCCCGCCCGCCTGCCCGCCGCCCCCCGCCGGCCCCTGCGCGCGGAGTGCGCGCGCCCGCGCCGATGTGTGTGAGTGCGTGTCCTGTTAGCTCCATGTTGCCGCCTCTCCCGGTACCTGCTGCTGCTGCTGCTCCCGGGGCTGCGGGAAATGCGAGAGGCTGAGCCGGGGAGGAGCAACTCGAGCAGCAGCAGCGGCGGCGGCTGCGGCCGCTGCGGCGGGAGGAGCCCCCCAGGAGGAGGACCGGGATCCATGTGTCTTTCCTGGTGACTAGGATGTCGTCGGAGGAGGACCGGAGCGCGGAGCAGCAGCAGCCGCCGCCAGCACCCCCCGAGGAGCCCGGAGCCCCGGCCCCGAGCCCCGCAGCCGCAGACAAAAGACCTCGGGGCCGGCCTCGCAAAGATGGCGCTTCCCCTTTCCAGAGAGCCAGAAAGAAGTAAGTTGAGCGCGAGGGAGCCAGGCGGGCGGCCAGCGGCGGCGGGGCCCGGAGCTGTCAGGCCCCCGGCCCGGTGGGGGCGGGGCGGCCCAGGCGCGGCCCGGTTCGGCGGCGCCCGCGCAGGTCCCGCCGGCCGTGCCGCGCACTTTACTTTGGAGTTCGGCCTCGCTTCTGGGAGAACCGCCCGGCGGCTTCCCCAGGGCCTAGCCCGGCGTCCGCACACGCCCCGCCGAGCACGCCCAGCTCGCTGCCCGGCCCGGCCGCTTGGAGCCACAAAGCTGTGGGCGCCAGGGACCGAGCTGTCAAACGCCGCGGCCGGGTGGTCCCGGTGCGGCGGCCGGCGCTCTTTGTCAGCTCGCGGCTCCTTTAACTTTTCTTGCTCCCAGACCTGTGCTTTTGCCCCTTAATGATACATTAGGAAGCCATTCGAGCCTGTCCTCCCCATCCCCCACCGCCCCGAACCGCACCGCCCGGCTCCGCAGCCGGCGCTCGGGATCGCACGGGCCCAGGTGTGAGCAAGCCGGAGTTTCGGGAACGCGGCCGGCGTCCGCGGCGCTGACGGCCCAGAGCACTTTGTTTCGGGGAGCAGACAGCTTTAAACGTCGCTCGCCTAGTAACTTTAACTCCAGCTGGGCAGGGAATGGCTTTCGATTGTTTTTGAGCGTACGTGAGGACTGTGCCCGGTGGATGAACTGGCCAAGAAGTGTTGTCTTTACAAAGTGGTCATTCGGCAACTTTGCTTGAAAAATTAAGGGAGCCGGTTCAGTGCTAGTGAGTTTAGTTGCTCAGCTATTGTGGCTCTTCTGGGTGCTGCGGAAGATTGGTGACCGTCTTTCAAAGTTGCAGAATGGCGTGTGTTGCTTACTCATTTCATTGTATGATATTCTCACTGAACTGTTGGTGGTGGAAGGGTGCGCTGGGACTTGCAGGAAGAAGCCAGCACATTTATGGATAGGCTATTTCTTTGGTTTTCGTGCCTTCATTTGTTGTGCAGTAAATAGTGTTAACTGATGCGTAGCAGCCTGGGCTTCGGGAACCCATTAAGCACTTGACCCAGTGTACCTTTTTTTTGAGGTTTGCTATCCTTGTACTAGGAAATGTACCAGGGCCTTCAGTCGCCTCCATATTTATTGCCTGCCAGTTCTTACCTAGCTGTGAGAAATCTTGAGAGAAACACTGTATAGAGGATGTATACATTATTGCATTAGGTTCTTTGTGATACAGAGTTAAGAGTTTATTTTGTAAGGTGATGTCCTGCATAAAATATCATTATGTCTGCCTTGACTGAAATTTGGAGAAGGTATGTGAAGTCTTCAGTAACTTTGGATTTAGTCAGTTTAAAATAAATACACTTTTAAAAAGCAATACAGGTTCAAACCATGTTAAGAGTTTTACTTAGATTCCTTCTCATTTTCTGTTTGAAAACCATTTATGTTGCACAAGAAGGTTCATGATGGCACATGCCTTTAATCCCAGCACTCAGGAGGCAGAGACAGGCGGATCTGAGTTCAAAGCCATCCTGGGCTACAGAGCAGTTCCAGGATATCCCGGGCTACACAGACAAACCATGTTTTGAGGGGGAAAAAAAAAGAAAAACATTTACATCTCTTACTATTGGTTCATTTGAGATTACTGTATGTTTTATATTTGTACTTAAATTCTTCCTGTTAGAAAGAATAGATAGATACACAAGTGCTCATTTTTGCAGTGCTTGGACCATGCATTGTGCCTCCACCGCTGCTGTGAGCTCAGTTGTATTAGTGCAACTCAGTTGTGTTAGTGAAACTCCTCTGAACTCAAGACTGGTTATTGCCACTTTATTATTTTAATTATTAGCACTATTATTAATAAAGAAGAAGCTTCTTTTTGAGAAGCTAAACTTTTTTTTTTTTTTTTTTTTTTTTTTTTTAGCAAGAATGACAGTATAAAGGCCAGATGATGGTGGTGCACACCTTTAATCCCAGCATTCAGGAGGCAGAGGCAGGTGGATCTCTGTGAGTTTTGAAGCCAGCCTGGTCTACAGAGCAAGTTCCAGGATAGCCAGAGCTATGCAGTAAAACCATGTCTCAAAAAACAAAACAATAACAAAAAGAATAACAGCATAGCCTAACAAAACTTTGGGAAATGTTTAGGTCAGTTCTGTTAAGTATTTTTTTTTTCTTTTGCTGAAAAGCATAATTCTTTACAGTGGAAGTCAAATGTAGTGGCTTCCAACTTTTAAATTTTTAAAAGTTAGGTATCTTTTGAAGGGAGTGGAATTTCTAATTGTTTTTGAGACATGTAAATGGAAACGAATGTGTGAAATGGAAAGTAAAGAGGTTTTTGACTGTGTATCTCTATACCATATTAGAATCCATGTGGAAAAGACCTTGTAGCTAGTGAAGACCCTGAAAGTGAAACTGATGTGTAACAGATGTGATTTAAGGTTTTCAATAAGTGAAAAATGTGGAATTGCAAACAGTGCACTGAAGAAATGAAAGTTAATATCCTTTGTTTGTTTGTTTGCTTGTTTGAGACAGGGCCTCTTTCTGTAGCTCTGACCGACCTGGCACTTTCTATCTAGACTACTGGCTTTGAACTCACAGATACCTGCCTTCCTCTGCCTCCTTATCCCTGGGATAAAGTACATGCCCCACCACATCCCTTGAAAGTAAAATATTCTTTATGAGATCTAATAAAGGTTTTAATATTATCAGTGTTGATCACTAACTTAGGGCCAAAACAAAAACAAGGTCTTATGACAGTAGTTTGATTATAACAGAATGGATTTTTTAATTTGTCTTTGAATGAAAAAAGGTAACCATGCACTGCCAATTATTGTGCTTGAAGTTTTAATAATTAAGTAAACAAATCAAGTGTTTTATAATTTTAGCCCTCTGAATTTTTGTTTTTTCATGTTTAAAAGGCATAAGATAATATAGTTAGTTGGTTCTACATTAGCTAAAATTAACTATTTAAAAGCAAATATTTTGAACTGAAAGACTGTCTGAAATTTCTTCTTAACTATAAAGACTAGTTATTTTGAGTGCTCATAATCCTTACCTGAGGCATCAGTGTTGCATTCTGGTAAAACAGCCCCTGCTGGAGGATTGTATATGTCAGAGGTCTATAATTCTGTCAGTGTTAAATGAAGCTTGTTTTTTTGTTTTTTTTTTAAAGACGGATTTTTACTGTGGGCCTGCAACCAACTGTGTAGGCCAGGCTTGCTAGGATTAAATGGAATAAGATATGCTTGTGGAGTTCTGGGATTAAATGTTAAATACTATGCCTGGCTTTAGTGGGAAGCCCAGGAAGTGTTCTACCATATTTGTTATGTCATCAAAGTTGAAGTCAGGGATTGCACATAGTGAACAGGCAATGCCGAAGCAGCAGGTGGCAGGGACAGGATTTCTGGGATACTGTGTTCAACTCTTATTGAGTCAGCTCTGTGCTCTGAATCACTTTTCAGAGGGCAATTACTGTTACTGGAGAGACAACTTGAGTGTTATTGTTACAGAAAAATCGGGGACAAGGGATGATGTCTTACAAGGGATCAGCAAAAATTGCAGTGCAGCTGGTAACAGTTGTTACTTTGTTGTAAGATTCTTTTCTCTAATAAAATTTCTCAAACCTGCGAACTTGAAATAAGTGATAGACAACTTTTCTTCACTACTGTATGTACAGTTTAATAGAAAGTCTTCCCCCCAGATCACTATTTATGCATTTTGAGATAATACAAGTATATAATATTTATGACAGCATTTCTTTTTCTTGCCTGCCTGTCTTCCTTCCTTCCTTCCTTCCTTCCTTCCTTCCTTCCCTCCTCCCTCTCTGCCTCTTTCCTTTAGTATTTTTTTTTTTTTTGAGATAAGGCCTATTCTGTATTCCAGGCTGACCTTGAACTTGGTATGTAGCCTGGGCTGGCCTAGAGTTTGAATATTTCCTTAGCATCCGACAGCAGGGTTTGTAGGTATGCATGACCATACTGAACAAAATGATTAAGTTTTAATATTTTTTTAAGATAGCAGATAAATGGTGTGTGTGTGTGTATCTTACAGTATCTTATATATCTATTTTACTATCTGTCTGTCTGTCTATCTGTATCTACTGATCTCTTGTCCATAGTAGGCACTAAAATATCTTAATTTAATTGAAAACAGGATCTGGGACTGGATCTCTTCCCTGTACAGAGAGGTTGTTTTAACTTGGCTGTGTTGTAGTTTGCTATTGTCCTGTTGGTTTATTCCTAGGAATTATTAATATATGATGTTTTTAGTCTCATAATTTTACCTTGCTTGTTAAGTTGATAAACATGGATTTCCATGCAAATTTAAAAGTATTGCATAGTTTAATTTCTCATTCTTAAAATAATTTGTTATATTTCCTATTATCCACTTAATTCTATGATGCAAGAGTAATAGTCAGTTTTCAAAGTTACAAACTGATTACAAGACTTTGTATAAGACTCGGTGCCTTACCTGCTTTCTGTTCTGCAAAATTACAGGTTATTCTATGGGCCACAGTTTTTCTGATCAGATAGTGTCTGTCCAGCCCAAATATCCTTTAAGTCAATGTAAACTTGTAACTAAGGGGCTTTCATGGAACTTCATTGACCTTCTAAAATAAATATGATCAGTTTTTAGGTATAAAGAACACTAGTTTGGTCTGGAGAGAATGCTCTGGGCTTAAGAGCACTTGCTGATCTTCCAGAGAACCCAGATTTGGTTCTCACAGCCATGTTGGGGAGTTTACAAAGTGCACATACATATATACAGGCAAATACTCATACATATAATATCTTTTAGTAAGTGATCCTAGCACTTGGGAGTCAGGCTGGTAGCTCTCTGAATTCTAGACCTGTGTGGTCTACATAACAAAATTCTAGGCCAGAGCTACACAGTGAAACCCTGTTTTAAAACAATCAATCAAGGAAGCAAACAAACAAACAAATAAATATTCTTCTAAAAAATAGAGCCCTAGAAGTTCTCTTCATGAATTTCTGGTGGAGAAATGTGAGGTAC